CTTTAATATAATATTAATAAATCTAGACTAAAAGTCTTTACTCTTCTCTTTTAGGACCTAGAAATTAATATATATAATATAATAATAGTCTAGGAATTATAGCGTAACCTTATTAATAGCACTATTTATAACCTAGCTAATAGCGAGTTCTACTTAGTTAATTTAAGAGCTAAGGAATTAAGAGTATACTACTATATAAATAAAAGAATCTTAACAGATTCTTAGACAGAATTTTTTTACTTAGATAATCTAATTATAATTACTTTGCGAATTACAGATAACTTATGTATAATTAATATTTATAACTATTATAATCCCTCTTTTACTTATTATAATAATACTAAAAACTATAACACGCTTAATATACTCCCTTAGGCCCTTAGTATATTAGAAGAGTACATCCTTCTAAGTAACTTTAATCTATATTACTTATTTTAGTATAGTCCTTCTTATCTGTATTAATATTTTTTTTCTAATACGCTACTAAGTTACACACACAATATAAGTGTCTTGCTTACGCTCTTCTTTAGAACTATTATTAGAGATATTTACTTAGGATAATCTGCTTAAAGAATTATTATTAACCTTATCTTTCTTATAGACTCTTTACTAAATTAACTAATAAGTTATAAAATTATATCTAAACTAAAATAAGAGTTAGATTATCTCTTAATCTTAACAGAATAAGAATAATAAATCGCCTTTAAATTATATTTTATTTATAAGCAAAGAATATAGAAGAAAATAAATTAGAAAAAGTTTTTAAACTTATTAGACAAAATAATAGTCTCTTTTTACTCTCTTCCTCTCTATAATAAAAAAGAGATTAATAAGTATACTAATATACTAATAAACTTAATAAAATAAGTAATTAACAAGTCTATTCTATAGTTATGCCTTAGCTTATTCTTAAAATTATATTAGACTATAAAGTACTTAAAGATTATTAAGCTCTTCTGAAGATTATATTATTATTATAATATCATCTATATAGAATAAGCTTAGAAGGCGTTTACTAGAGCCTGTAATAAGAAGAGTAATATAATAACTAAAGTTAAATGTACAGAGTTTAGACAACACATATAAGAAGCAGGCAAATTGCAGGAAAAGCTATAATAGACTATTAAGTAAGCGAGACAACAATCTTAAGAGATCTTTATACAAGCCTTATTTCCTACTCTCTATAGGAATAGAGCAACTGCCTCAGAACTTAAGGCGAAAACTAAATTACTTTATAATTACTACTTTCTTTTATCTCCTTAAGTAGATCTTTTTAATATTTAGAGCTTTACTTACTTAGAATCTATAGATATTTCGCCTACACTAATATAATTAAAGATTATATAGGGTGTATTAAAATCTAAAAAAAATAATGCTTTAAGGCCTAATAACATTCCTAACTAGGTTGTTTATATAATTATTAATAAGCGATTAAAGCTACTTACTTGTTTATTTAGTATAAGCTATTATTTAGGAGTTTACCTCTTAGTCTTTAAACATATTATTATAATTATTATCTGTAAACCTAGGAAACCTAACTACTCTAACCTAAAAGCTTATTACCTTATTGCCCTCCTTAATATACTAGGTAAGGTGTTAGAAGCAGTAATCGCAGAATATATCTAATTTGTAGCTAAAAAACACTTTCTTTTTCTAGATACTTAAATAAGAGTAAGCCAAATAAGATTTATTAAAATAGCCTTCTAATTAATTACTAACAAAATCTATATTATATAAGGGGCTAAACGCTATAGAGTAGCTTTATTACTTAGCCTTAACGTCTCTAGTGCCTTTGATTACATTTCTTACAAAAGACTTATTTATAATCTTTAAAAGAAACAGATTCCCTTAAAGATTACTAACTAGGTTAAGGACTTCCTTTAAGATAAGGAAACTAAGGTCTGTCTTAGCTAATTTATGCTAGAAAGTAGCAGAATATTTATAAGCATCCTGCAAGGCTTTTATATCTCTCTGATCCTTTACCTATTCTATAATGCTAACCTCCTTAATATATGTAAGAACATATTACTTTATATAAGTGTTATAAGCTTTATAAATAATAATAATATTTTTATATATAGTTTAAGCACAGAGCAGAACTACAGAAACCTTAAATATATTTACCTTATATATAAGTTATAAGTAACCCGCTATAGGTTCTTTTTTAATCTGTCTAAATATAACCTAATTTACTTCTTTTATACGCTTAAGAGATTTAATATACTAGCTAAACTATTATTACCCTCTATAAATATAAGCCTTAACTCTAAATTAAATATTAGAATGCTTAAAGTCTAGCTTAACCTAGTGTTATAGTAGAAACCTTATTTTTATATAGTTAAAGCGTAAGTAGTTTATTATTTAAGCGCCCTAAAAATACTGTCTAGCTCTACTTAGGGCTCCTTTGTCTCCTTAAGGCTTTAAGTATATATGTTAGTTACTTAACTAGCGCTACTTTATAGCTATAGTATCTAGTACGCCTTAGAGAATATAATAAGGTATAAAAAAGGCATTAAAAATAAATTATAAGCTATTTAAGGATGCTGTCTTTAGGCTATTACAGAAGCCTATAAAGCTACTATTATATAGGCGCTTAAGGTTAAAACGTTTACTCCCTTAATATATCTTTATATAGAGATGTTTATAGCTAACTTAACTTGCTATATATTAGCAATAGACCTTTATAGCGTGATTAAAATTATAGTAAGCTATATCTATTAATAAGATTAAGATAATAAGGGCAGGCAGACTAAGCCCTTTATTACCCTTTTTTACTTATTAAAAGAATAAATAAAAAGTTATATAAGTAGTCTATCTTATTTTAAGATAAGAAATTTAAATACTGACCTCTTATAATACGTTCCTCCTAATATCAAAATCGCCTTCTTAAAAGAGATA